AATATATGATTAAAGAAACATGTACCGCCTGTGGTACTTGTTGAAATTTCTTCTGTTTCTTCCATTTCTGTCGCAAGTGACCCGATCATAATTGACAGTCCTTTCCAACAATCTAAGAGAAAAGCATAGATAGTAAGGTATAGGGTAAATGGCAAAGGCTGTAAACAGATCCACTGTTTGTAAATAACATTCCTATCTTTAAACAATTCTTTACTAGAAACTCAAATTACAGGGCTGCCATTTTAAAGGTATGCTGTGACTCGCAGAAGACAGTCATGTTTAGATCTGACCATTAGCTAGAAAATTAGCTTTTTAATCTATACTATGTTGCGTTTGACTTTGGGTAATTGATACATTTGTTTCTAACTGAAACGTTTCCTAATTTATTTTAATTGCTTTGCTCTGATTTATGTATGTAAAGCACTTTGTTACTTGTTTTTGAAATGTGCTATATCAATAAAGTTGTAAACTTTATGCAGTAATTTTGGCCACCTGACTCAATAATAAAATTATAGTAAAGTTAATCCTAATAAAACAATTTACACTGTGCCATTTTACTCATACGCTCTTATGTTAGAAAGATTAATGGAGGACCTGGAGAGTAACAAGTAATAGTCAGAAGAAGGTTGCAGCTGTGCTTACCTGTGAAGATCTGTGACCGTCTGTGCTCCGTTTCTTGTGTTTGTTGTCAGTGCTGACATTGGGTCTGGGTGGGAATTTCAACTCCCAGTAGTCTGGTTTAACTTGTCAGTACAGGTATTGTAAAAGCCGAAAGAGTCCATCTTTGCCTAAGGCAGCTGCACTTTTTGAAGGGCATAAGGTGACAGTCAACAGATTCTTCTTGAGTACTACTAACGGGTGGCAACTAGGACTGGATCAAACAGTTGAAATAAGTATTATAAAATAAATTAGAATAGTCTTCCAATGTTGCTGCCATTGCTTAATTACATGACAATTTATTTATCACCTGCCCTTGTCACAATACTGAACAAAAAATAATGACAAGATGGCTTTGTGTGATTAAGACTCGCTTTATCTGGTGACATGTTGATTGTTGTGTCGCTGATGTGACCAGATTTGCATAACTGGTGGGAAATGCATAGATTGATGGACAGATGAATGAATGGTATCCGTAATTTTACACAAATGTCAGACAAATTCAATCTGCCATTTTTTTTTGCCACCACAATCCACAAAACAGATAAATATAGAAATGATATACTGTTGTTATTAAACAAGACTAAGCCACTACAGCAATGGTGACCGCTCTCAAGCTGCAAATTGAGATTTTGAAAAGTGTTGATACTAGAGACCGACAACAGCAGGTCTGGTTCCTCTCAGTGCCGTTAACACCCTTTCTGGCCTTGTGATATGCAACCTTTTTTAATGTGAAATCTTACTTTTACCTGGCCTCATAACAAACTGGGACACCCTAGTGTAAGATGAGTCACTCTGACGCCCTGCAGTGTTAATAGTGCGGTCACATAAGGGTGCAGTCACACATAGAGACAAACTCAGGATGCTAGTGCACTTTGGATTGAGCAGTGTGGTAATTAGATACAGCTTTTCAAAGGGAACCAGTGACTTCCTCTAAGTAACCTGTTGTGTGTTCCTGTTTGTTCGTAATGATTACTTCTCCTGTCTGTTGTGTTATTTTTTAATCATTTATTTCACTCATTTCAGTGAAACTACACATCTGAGGCCCCAATGTTCCAGACAGCCAACATGTTGGAATACCCCCCCTCCATCCGTCCATATGCCCCCTCAGGGTGACAGTGACACAAGTGTCCCATTGTCACAACAGCGTCTGTCAGGGTCTGTCTCATGGGGGGAGGATATGCCTTAGGGAACATCAGAAGATTAGCTATGGCATTAAATCTCTCCCCCCAACACACACACACACACACACACACACACACACACACAAACACACACACACACTCTTCACAGACGCTTGCACGCTTCTACCCATAATCCCTCTGTTACAAGTCACTTCCCGTTTCAAGAGCCACTGAGACAAAGCAACAGATCATGTGAGTGTGTTTTGTGCTTGTGGCTGACTTTGGAGTGTTTGCTCTACATGAGTGCCACACATTTTAATCCCATATTGGGAGCTGAACAGAAGAGTGGCCTTGACATCAATGTGAGTATTTAGAGGTGAGATATTAAGTGATTGTGGTCTACAGCATAGAGGGCATACTGTACTGGATGTTGTGTGTTGTGTGGGAATAAGAGGGAGGGGGTTCCAGTGTCCAGTATGCATATGTTCTATACTGTATGTGTGGGGGAGGTGCTGTGCTTGTTGGGCCATGTGCTGCGTCCTAATAGCGTTTATCAATTTATCATGGTTGGTTGATCAGTTGATGTATTTATTTGCATACTGCAGTTTGGGAGGGACACGTTTTCCATTATTTATGTGTCTCCTTAATGGAGACTTGCAGGCCAAGTCGAGTGGTAGCACAGCCGGTCAGTGCCTGATCAATATGTGATCACGCAGAGAGCTCTTGAGCTTTTCTTTGCTGCAAGATCAAGACTGTCTAATGACTTATGAACACACACCAAGTTTACATTCTCAGGAAATAACCATTTAACCGTCATTAAAGCTATTGTGTATCACAATCTTCATTAAATATTCAGCACTGTCCCTTATGTCAGTGTGTCAAACTGTAAGCCAGCACAGCAGAAATATGAGAAGAGGGAATAGATGGAGAAATGGAGAGAGAGAGTAAGAGACTGACACCCAGAGAAAGACAGAAAGTGCCTGGGGAGAGAACAGAGCTCGAAAAGCAAAAAATCACCAGATTCTTTTCTATTGAACTAAAAAAAAAAAAAACGCATTCTGAATATATTCAGGAACATGTGTTGTCCACTATTTTCCTCTGTTTGTAAATTGGATCAGATGTTTTGAGTGGACTAGCTACATGTGATGAGATTTTTACAGTCTGCGGTTGATTAGGATGGATAGACAGACCGGAGAAGCTGAGTTCAAGGTCGTATCTGGGATGTATGTCGTTACTCTCAATTTGTCAGCTGGGAATAGACGTCAATAAAAGGTTAACTCTGTACATGTTAATTCCTCCATCACTCCCTTCTGTGTCCAGCCTCCCTCCTCTTTTGTATCTGCCCTATTGCTCTTTCTCACTCTGCCTTCTTCCTCTTTAATTAGAGGTATGGGACAGATTACAGAAGTGATGGATGGGCAGTTCCTCCATCTGGGTGCTGGTTCATGCAGGCATGCTCACTGAGTACAGGCACAGATGTAGACATCACATGTATGTGTGTGATTGTGTGTGCTTATGCATTTGTCGTCAGTGGATCTATCTTAAGCATACTGAGTGTTTTTTTTTTCATCCTGCTTTCCCTGACCGCCAATTAGACTTCGAAAGCCGGATTACGGGTTTGGGCTTCTCACATTTGTGGCTACATCTGCTTAATTACTATGTATTACTCACACTATACAGACCAGGCCATGTGTGAGTACTCCTACACACACAGACACACAAACCACACTCATCCAGCTAATGGACCAGCCTGTCTTTGCTTTTGCTGGGCTTATATTTCACCTCAGAGAGGGAGGGAGCACAGCCAACAGGTCCATTACTGAGAGAAAGAGAGAGAGGGAGAGAGAGATAGGGATTGTGATGAGGGGAGGAAAAAATAAAGAGAGGGGCGGGGATACGGCTGCAGGCGTACTGCGGCAGCAGTAGAGCGGCATGACGTGATAGAGGAATGGAATGACAGACACACACACACAAATACACATGCTCGCAGCTCGGAGGCTCGCCAGGCAAAAGTAGACAGAAGCAAAGGCAGGGACTGAGCCGGACGCACTCAGCAGCATACAGATCGGACTCAAACTCACTTGCTGCTTTGTATCCTGATGCTTGCAGGGGGTGAGTGTAGCCCTGTGATGATTTTTAATTGCTTCATATTTGCATTTGTTAACGTGACTGTTCTCCCCTTGTTTGTTTGTGTGAGTCTGTGTTCTCTCATTTGTGTAAATGTAACTACGAAGACGAGTTTCTGCAAACAGATAAATGCTCTGTATTTTAGAGGATGATGGTGATGTTCACAGTGGTATGACAATCAGCGGCGTAACGGGGGCATGGCGGTAGAGTGGAAGTGAGAGGTTAACAGAAAGAAAGGCAGAGCTTAAGTGGGATGAAAAGAGGGGGATGATAGAGGTCGGGGTGTATCGTAACCAGGGGGTGACATGATGCGATCCGTCTGAGTCAGCATTGTAGGGGCTGTATGACTCAGTGCAGCATGCACAGCATACATGCTGTAGTGTGTGTCCATTACAGAAAGATCAGTCCAAAGTGTTGGATGATGTGGAGAAGAGTTGTAATAGTGAATCAGAATGGAGGGAAAACTGTCTGTGCACACATGGTGATGTTTATGTGGTTGGTAGTCTGATTACACTCCGTTCCTGTTTAGTTTGTGTGGGTGCTTGTGTTTGTCTGTCTTTGCTTCTATAATGAGTGGACGTGTGTGGCTGACATGTCTCTTTTTTCCAACGTTCTGAGTGACTTAAACTCTCTCTGTACAAATCTTGAGACTCCTCAGCCGATGACTTCTCCATGTGGTCGTACTATGTTGCATTTAAAACCTCGTAAAAAACATTTTTACGGTACTGTGTGCCTGTGCAGTTGACAATCTGGACATACTAGGTTTTTAGACGACCTAAATGTTATTTTGTGGCATTGTTGAGGATGACAGAATATGGGTCATTGTGGGTCATGTAAGCCAAGTAAATTTCCATTTGAGCTACTGACTCATAATAACATAAACAGTCATCAGTTCATTGTGCAAACAGACATTTTGCATGTGTGTCTGTGTGTGTGTGAAATGACGTTTTCTGCCAAAAGATGAGAACACTGATTTAATCAAAGAAAGTGACTTTGAAAATGAGTCACCTCGGTACGTGCACCCCTGATTGGCTGAAAATGTTGTTCCCGTTTGTCACAGCTTCCTGCCTTGATGAATAGTGAGGCACTGCGGACCAATGGGAGGGCGGTGGTAAGGATGCAACAGTGATCCAGGAAAAAACAGCCCATTGTTCCTGGGACGTTGGAGAAGCGTGACCTCCCTCCCGCCGGCTCTAGCTGCTCGCCGTAACGGCACACCGAAGGACCCAATACCCCACTGTCAGGTGAGACACTCCTGTGAGACAGTAGATCTGGCACATGCCATAATAAGCAGTTTATGAGCTTTAGATGTGGTTATTTTTATTCTGCTGCGACTTTCTTCTAAGAAAACTGTGACTTTCAAGGAACTCATATTGTGTGAGTGTTTTTTGCACCACTGGGTGACATTAGAATATTGTAAAATGATTTATGACCGCACATTATCGCTGTTGTTTGGTTGTTGTCATTATAGAGGTAATTACATTCATTTATTGTAGACTCTCCAGACTGGGTGACACACACAAACACACAGGCTCTGCTAATGTCCTTGAGTTCACAGAGAAGCCTGTGTTACCACCACATTTATTGATTTTGTGATGAGTCAGAAGGTTTTCATCATAGGGATGGGGCTGTGTATGTGAGAGAGAGAGAGGGTATGCATGGTTCTTTGATCAGAAGTACAGTAACTCAGTTCAGACTGAGTGTGTCATGGGACAGAGGAGCTAAAATGGTGTAATGTGATTTTGAAGTTAGAAGCCAACATCTAATGCCAGCTGCCACGCTAGCCTTCTTTTTTCTTCTTGCAGAAAGTACATACCTGACCTGTCTTGTATGACTGTGGGGAAATGCGTTCTTAACTGCCTCATGTAGTTCACCTCCTGACTATGTGGAGATAGACAAATAATTAGACAGAATAGGAGATGATTGAAGGAAGAAGAGTCTCTGCTGATGCTGTTGCTGTTGCACATTATATCCAGCAGATGTCAGTACCATCCTTGCAGAATAAGTGAGAGGGCTGTTCAAATGCTCTGTAATAGCATTCTTCCACACATTTGCTCACCAAATCCAACAAAAAACTAAAAATATGTGTCATCCGAAACTGCACTTAGTTTTGACTTCTTTCTACTTAAATACAACATAAGTAAGACCTGTATCTATGAATGTCACATAAACACTATTGTGCACATACTATAATTAGCCAAGAGGCTCATATATGGAGCGTTAAGCAAATAGCTACTTCAGATCGATTAGCCGTTCGATTCACTGAGAATCATTACTGGAACCATCGTTTAACTCGTTTTTAAAGCAAAAATGCCAGAAAATCTCCGGTTTCAGCTTCTAAAAATGCTGCTGTTTTCTGGTATATATGATACAATGCCATGGCAAATGTAATATCTTTGCACTGGTTGGACTGGCTAGTCAATTTGAAGATATCAGCTTGGACTTGGGGGAACTGTCATTAGTTCTACTATTTCATGACCCTTTTGTGGAAACTGTTAACTGCAGCACTAACTACTAAACTGTTTTTCCAAACCCTAAAACCAAAAAGTGTGTATTTAAACACTTTGTATACACTTTCTTTATTTAAACAAGTCACAAGCAGTTAGACCTAAAGCGTCAACCAACAAACAATGTAACTATTGTAAATGCACTTGTGTAACAGAATGATACAGACCGATCTTGTCTTTAAAGCCGGTATGCAGTCTGAACACATGACATAGAGAACATACCCAACACATTTAACAAAGATCACCTTATGTGTCAGGGAATCAGGGAATTTTCACTGGCTTACAGCTGTTGGTTTCAGTCAGCAGAAATGTCTTATTGTTTTTCTCTGATTACTTTCTGAGTATATACACACGCAGACATCCCCATCAACAGCTGATACCCTCGGTATGTCCTTACGTGGGCTGCAGTAGTACTGGTATGACCCCAGTGTATCCCCAGGGAATAGCCAATTTCCATACAGATAAACACAGAGCCAGACTGCACCTGTGCTTCTGGAAATCCTAACAGGAATTGTATCAGACTGAAATTCTGATGCTTATTAGTGACTTGGCCTCCCAAGAGAAAGTGGGAGAAAAAAGAGACAGAGAGAAACAGAGATGGGGGGATACAGGGAAGAGGAGGAGGAAGAATAATTTGGTGAGAGAAATGACAGGAAAGCAGGATGGATGATAACATCTGTCTCTGTTTACCTACTGCTGCATCATTGCTACTATATGCTGCTGCGCAGGTCTTCATTAGCACTGAGTCAACTACGATAGAGCACCCATCCTTGGTAACATTTTCTGTGTCAGTGTGTCTGATAATATAAGTAGGTGAAAGGGAGGTCTCCTACAGAGGCGCTAACCTTTCCTTTGTACACTAAAATGTTATTTCTGGGTATGTGTGTGAGTTTTTGAGCTGAAGCAGTCAACCCCTTTTCTCCTGCTGGGAAAATGTGTGTGTGTGTGTATGTTTTGTGTGATCCACATTACACTGCGTGCAATACTGTGATAGATGCGCCATTAAATAATCCAACATTTTATCCTCGTGACTTTGATGGCTTAATTTGACACATCTCTGCTTTACTAAAGACAGCTTCCCAAGAAATCTTCTGGCAGCTAAATTTCTGCTATTTAAGAAAGGGCAAGTAGGATTAAGCGTTAAATCTGCGTATTTGTGAGTATGTGTATAATTATAATAATGAAATCTATTTGTACTAAACTGTTCCAAAGCAAAATTGCTGCACAGGAAGTAGAAAGTAAGACAGAAAATGTGCAATATGTACATGTTTATGTGTTGAATGTGTGAGCGGAGCAGTTGGTGATCTTCTTCTGTGCGTCTGAACAGCGACAGCAACATGATTTGTTCACTTTTTAAGTGAGACGGTTATAGGTCTAACTGAAGCATTCACAGTTAAAATCTCAGAATGTTTTCTTTGTGCAGACAGACGTTTAAAAAAACATATATGCAGGCATTTTCACAAAGAAATTAGGACAGCACAATAAATCTGAACTGTTGAGATATTGTTTACATGTTGAAATGAATAAGTTAGATTTCCCAAAAACTCATGTCATGTGAAATTCTGGCATTTTGTGGGGATAGCAGAGCAATTTATCTGTTTCTCTCAACTGCTGTTATCCTTCTCACTCTACACTTGCTGTTTCCTCCCTTTTCCCCTCCCTCCCTGCCTGTCCTCCAGCTTCACAGCCTCCCCGTCCTCTTTCCCTTCAGCAGAGCAGCACGAGGTAGTTAAATTAGGTGACGTTACATGAAATGTGTCACTTGACCAATATTCACTGTGGTTAGGGTGGAACAGAAGGGCGCACAGAATATCAAGCTGACTTTTAGAGTTTCTGGGAGGGCTGTGTGTTTCTGAGAGGGCAACAGAAACTGAATATCTGGAATCAAAGCAAATCAGGTGAGAATGATCCCATACCTCCTCTGAAGCTGTAATGTGTAAGAGAGCAGAGTGTGTTTGGGTGACTGTCAGAGTCTGTGTGAGTGAATTCATTATGTGGAGAAAATCAGTTATGTGAGAACATAACGCTCTAAAAGCAGCTGTTAGAAGTCGCTGTGAGCATGTGTCTGTGCGTGTGTGTGAAGCTGTGTTAGTGTTTTGAACTCCCAGCAGGCAAATTTGATTGCGCAGACACTCCATGCCTCTCTGAAAATAAGCTCAACTCGTGGTTTTACCATGACTCAGGTTGTCATATGTGCTTGACTCACATGCTCACATACCATGGATGTTTAACTTTCTCTGTGTCGAGAACAACAAATTGTAGTTTACCTGATTAGATTAAACTTTAGATTAGATTTTAACACAGTGTAATAAACCTAAAAATGGATAAACAATCTTTTTTGTGGAGGGGGGTCGGAGGGTGGGGGGCTTTTGTGACTCATTGTGTGTTCATCTTTTGAACTCATTGTATTTTTCTTTGTCCTGTGTTTCTCCATGTACATCAGAATGAGTGGGGGTATCAATGTGAAGTCGGCCCCCCGGGCTCCTCCATCATCAGGAATCCCCCTCCCACACAGCCTGTTGCCCTCCTCCCCCAAAGCAGACACTCGCCGCCGGTCTACTGACCTACCCAGGCCCTTAACACAGACCCCTAAACACACACCAACACACACACCCACACGCACACCCACCCGCACACCCACGCACACACCAACGCACTCTCCTTTACTATGTCCACGGAGCTCCAGCATCCCTGGGCTGTCCTCCAGGGACCTGACGAGAGACCCCAGCCTAAAAAGTCAGCTCTTCAAACGGATGGGAGCTCTACCTGCTCCCCAGGTGTCACGCTCCGCCTACAACAGCCCAATAACCCAGCGCAGGATACCGCCGCCTCACTCCAAGGACACGCTGGATCTAGGAAAATCCACCTTGCCTCACGTCCCCTCACAGCTTCCACATGACGGCAATCGCAACAGGAACACCTTCACCAATAAGAACCAAACATGGGGAACCAGCAACCTGCGTCCACCACTCCACTTCAGAAGAGGAGACAACTCCAACACTGTAGCCCAGGGAACGAGTGAGGTCGTGCCACAAAGAGAGGAACAGCCTCCAGAAAACCTTCCGGCCCAGTCTACAATGTTGAACAACGGTAACCTCCGCTCTTTCGCTCAGATGAGCTACGATGCCATCAGAGGTCACAGTGGCTCCACCAGCCAATCAGACGAGGAGATGGGGACTCCTGAGGACAGCAGCCCGGCCTCCTCTCCTGGTCCCCTGCCGCTGCCACCAATCACATTCACCATGCCAGTAATGTCAAAGGTGGCTGTTGTTATGCACGATCAAATCTTAGACGAAGAGGCTGAATCTGAAGAGACTCACACACCCAGAGTCAACATGGCTACTGTGGCTCCCTTCAGCTACAGGTAAGCAGTCTGTACTCACACACATACACGATCATGAGCCCCCAATTACTGACACCTATTGTACAACCATTCTCTTGTCATTATCATATGATCACTCTCTACCACTTTATGATCCCCCTCTCTACTGACACACACACACACCACACACACACACACACTTTGAGTTCCCCACTAATAGATACTAAAAAGCCTGCCCTAGAGGCCTATTGTGCCTTTCAATTCTAATTCTTCTTGGTATCTTTTCAGAATACGTGCTGGTGTAAGAGATACATGCAATTACAAATATACACACACTGTGTTTTCTGGGGCAGAGCTGATTGTTAAAGTGTCCTCTTGCCAGCCTCTGGGCTGACTCAGTGTATTGTTCTCTCTCACACACACATAGTCTCTCACGATGTGGGATAAAAACAAGAAAGAGTGATTTTGTAAGTAAAGAAATGCAGTGTTACTGTGTCTGATGTGCGGTGTTGAGTGGTGTGTGGTGTTTTACTTAAATGAATCAATCCGTAAAGAATTCATCTCTCAAAGCAGAATCACTGAATGCACAATATACTTTATACATTATAAAATAAAAAGCAAACAATCAAGACAAGAACTTCAGTTCTTTTATTATACTTTTATAATGATGAAATTATCCCCAGTGCTTTGTGCATTATCAGTGATTTTCTGTTTCTTTGATTTGCATTTATGGAAATCAGGGTTACACACATCTTTTTCTTCTGCTGTCATACATAGTAGCTTGTGTGTTTGATTGTAATCAGTGATATTGAAGTGATTTGCATGTACAGCAACAGATGTGTGATGGCTGTGTCCATGATGTTCTTACAGGGTGCGAGTGCAGGAGAGCGATTTTTCACTGGATGAACTTAGTGACTGCTCATCTGGATCCATAGAAGTCTGTTGTGATGACCTCACACCAGGTTAGACCCACTGTCACACACACACACACTGACACTTAGGTAAGTAGTCAAACATAGATTATCCAAACTTCCACATTTTTTTTACATAATCACTCTTCCTTTCTCTCTTTTCCTTTTGCTAGACTAAACGTAGTCTAGATCTGTCTGCCCAGTTAGCATCAGAGCGCAGAGAGGCCAAGAGCCCTGTTGGCAGGTACGGATGCCTACTTTCTGACAGACACATTTACTGTGAAAGAGCCATAAATGGCGTCAGACAAGACATGCCAACGGCCGACCTTTGGGTCTCATTGTGGAACCTGAATAGACTCAGTGAAGACTAAGGGACAACCATTCTTTGTCCAAATGTCTCTGTCACGGTCCTACTCATGAGGCCTGAGGAGGGAGAAACTGTCAGTGGAACTTCTCACTATTTCATGTTGATGTTTTATGGACTACCTGAATAGTCATTTAATCAAAGAAAATAATTGACAGATTAATCAATATAATTGTTGTAATTGTAATATTTTTGTTTTTAAATACTTTGTATACACTTTTTATATTTAAATTAATTTCTGTAGGTAGACAAGTCACTAGCAGTTAGACCTAAAGCGTCAACAAGCAAAAAGCCTGTATGCAGGAAATCAGAATCAGACCTGAAATACACTTTTCAGGCTTACAGCCTCGTCAGTCTCGTTTTTTCCTTTTTTTTCTCTGATTACTTTCTCCGTATATATACACAGACATTCCCACCACCAGCTGAGCCTCGGTCCATATGTGGGCTGCAGTAGACTTGGAGTTAGGTGGTTTTTTGTGTGTGTCGTAGCCTGGGGCTCTGCTGACTGCAGTGGTTCCTGGATGAAGAGATGGGAAAGAGAGATGGGCTCAGGATGCTAATATGAAGGAAGATGACAGGGGTGATGTGGGTCAGTAATGGGATGTAATGGGGCACTCGCTGCCAGGGAGCATTATATGCACATTGATTTCAGCTTCATCCAAGAGCTGTCGACGAGTTTGAACTCTTATTTCCCTCACGCATAATCTCCATCTCTCTCTCTCTTGCGCTTCCTCCTCTCCTGTTTCATTGACCTAAAAAGTCACAGTCCCAGCATGACCCCCTCCCCGTCCTTCTGAGTAATGGTTGGCTCTGCACCCGCAGCTATAGTCATGCATTGTCGTGGTCAGTCTGAGTCGAGGGATGTGGATGTGCTTCAGAGATATGACTTTATCAGTGGCTTAGTGAATCATTCTTTTTGATGTGGTGTCAGTTGCACAGGAGGGGATCAGCTGTCTGGCTTTGAAATGTGCAGTACAGAGTTAGTGTGTGTTAAACTTTAATGGCCAACATCTCCTAGCTTTTACACATCTGTACAGCGTAATCAGAAAGTATCAGGACAGTTTTATGTTTCGCAGTAATCCTACACATAAACATGCAGACGAGATCAAAGGCTAAATATTACCTTTCTGTCTGTTAAGGTTGCTTAAACTTAATGAAATGTATTAATATATATGTATATAAAGGGTTACATTATACACTGAATTTGTTGCGGATGTGCAAACACAATGTTTTTGTCATGCTAGTGGCTGTGTTGGTTAATAAACAGGTTTATGATCAAATATCTGCAAAACTAACGACATTTCTATCAGGCTCAGCTTTCTGCTTTGTTTAAGGCTAGTTAGCAAATTTGAGCGAGTAGGTAAACATGGTTGAAATTCTACCTGCTAAACATGAGCGTGTTAGCGTTTTCATTATGAGCATTCTGACTGCTGATATGCTCAGGTAATGGCTTTGAGCATTTATCTGTGAATGCTGAGCGGGCCACGATTTCAACATTTGGTCATCAGTTGCTTGGTTTTCAAACGATAAAACAATATGAAGACAATTAGATATTAATACAAAGTGTCAGACATCGCAGCGATAACATTCCCATCCCTGACCAAACATTACTGGTACCCTGCTTATAACGTTTTTAGTGTGAGATTAAAATGACAGATTAATCCAACGCAATATATATTGAACTAACACATTTATTACAATTTACTGTGATACATTTAGTTAAATTGTGGTTTTATTATTTGCTTTTACTGTAGCAGCAAAGTCTCTGGAACTTAAGCGTCAGAGAGTCAGCTTGGACAAAAAAAAAGAGCTCTATCTGCATCTCCCCTTTTTTCTTTCTGAGAGAATGATGATACAGAAAAAAGAGAGATAAAATGTGCATCTAATACAATAATAGTATTTTTTTTAACATATATTATGCCGCAAACACTTAGTTTAACCTTAAAGTTCTCTATCCTATTGATCTGGCCTGTCTGAAATTGTAGCCACCAGAATAGAGCTGTTTGCAAATAAAACCTTTTAAAGGCTTTTTGAAGGTTTCAACCAGCTGGTTGTGGAAAGGGGGGATGGGGATCTCATGGTGGACCAGCCCCAGTCTTTAAAGGCCTGGCTGTCTTGGGACTATGGTTGTGGCCTTGTAATTGGTCCCTAGAAGGCGTTAGAAACAGAACTAAAGTGTCTTAGACTCCTCTGAAGCTACATTTACATGGAGGGTGGACTGACACCGTAATAACTGTAATTTAGGAAGCGGAGGAAGGGAGGGAAACTGGGAGGAAAGCAAAGTTTGGAGGGAAGGAAAAGAAGAGTGAGAAGGGTGAGAGATGAAAAGAGGAGACCTGATAAGGTCAGTGGGTTGATGGATTTTGTTTTGTGTAAGAAGGAAAGAGAACAAACAGAAAATGTGTGCACAATAAGACCACAGATGCTGTGGTTGAACACACGACACAAGGCAAGGCACCGTGATGTGTTTTGGTTCTGGTTGTCTTTATTGACTATGGTAAAAGAGTGGTTTTCCACAAATTGAATGTTTTCCATATGCCCACATTAGATTGCATCTGCAGTAACATAATCTGTTCTTACGTCTATTCAAGACCCTAATGAAGACCTGAACATTCAATGTGACTGTAGCACCATGTGGTCTTTCAATTAGACCACAGACCTCCTGACCTTGTCGCTCTCTGGAGAGGTGTACTTGAGCATGCGTTCATGTCCGAGCATGTGTGTGTATGTGTGCTGATGTGTGCATGTGTGACAGTACACAGATGGTGTTTGAAAGATAAATGTGATGTGGACTGCGTATCATTTTTCATCTCCCTGGGAGGGTATGGCCTGATATTCCCTACGGACACTCTCAAAGTCCGTCAGCTCTCTCTCTCTCTCTCTTTCATCTCTCTCTCTCTCTCTGCCCCCCCCCCCTTTCTCTCACACACACACACACACTTACACATACTATACAAATGCTTCCAGGAGGTTATGATTTTCATCTGGTCTGAGGACTCATGGCATATGAAACAAGGATATGAAACACTGTACAGCATCCCACACCCAGATAAAAAACAAGAAGAACTGTACTTTCCAAGTGTGGGATTGACAAATGTTCCTTTGAAATAGTCACACAATCTGGAGCAGAGATTTCATGATGTGTTTCTCAAGGTGAGCCAAAAAATTTTTTTTAGTGGCAATTAGCCAACTTGCATTGTGTTATACTGAATTACATAATGACCCTAGTTCCCTCAATTTAGTCTTAATATAATAATACATCCTACTTTTGTAATTAAAACTGTTTTAGAGAGGTGTTGTATGAACTTTAAGGTCATTTTGGTGGCCGCAGTCAGTTTGTGAGTGTGTGTTTCTATAATTTTGTCTACCCCATTTATATCAGTAAGGGAGGCTAAGTAGCAGAAAATTCTCTCTGTATAATGCTCTAAAGTTCAAAAGTACCTCACAAAAAACAAGTGTATTTTTATCTTTGTGTGTAGTTTTGTAAGAGAGCCTAACACATTATTATCTTATTTTTGTGGAAAATTTAAAAAAAAGGAAATTTCATGATCGATGAAAACAATCAGTGTAGAAATAACTGAGAGCTGCTGTGTTTATTTTGCAGAAGAATATGAAGCTGAATTCAGTTGCAGTGAGGAAAAGCAACATTTATTGTACTTTCTACTTCTTAGTAAAATGGTTTGTCCTATTGCAGAGCAATGACATAATATGTTTTAATTAATTTGATTGATTCAAATCAGTCACAAGTATGTCATAATGTATCCAATCTTGTAGTTTTGATTGTAAAAATGGCACAGAGAGAATTTGGCACATTTTATAGCCAGTGGAAATGCCTGTAAAGGTAGTAGTAGTTTTTGTTTTTTTTAAGTCTTTGCTTATTTTACACTCAACACTATTACATACTGGATGTGATTAACAGTAAGTATACAACTGGAATATACTTAAAGGATTAATGTATTTTGGGAGCCCTCAGAGAAAGAGCCTCCCTCGAGAAACACATTTTTATAATGATTCACTTTTAGGATAGTCAGCAAATCTTTAGTAATGAAGGTATGAAATCAGCTTTGCAGTTTATACATTTTATGCTCACCATTTACTTAATGCCCCTGGACAGTCTAGTGAATAGCATTTTCATAACCCCGGCTGCATCTACTCTTAGACAGTGCATAATCCTCTTTGGCCAATCTAATCAGAGAGACATATGCCGAGTTGGCCTTGGACAGTGATGAGTGGTTTAGTAGCTTTGGGAAGATGATCAGACATAAGCGTGGACTAGATTATGTCCTTGCTCATCACCAGGACCGAGGCAGTAATCACTATTTAGGGTTTAATGTCGTGCCCTACTCTATATTTGATCCTAACTTTGACCTGTCAAGAGTTGTGCAGTCCGGTGCCGGGACAGCTGGAGGGGTTTATCTTTAGGTTATGTTGTGAGTTTGATAGTGAAGACATCACATGAGTGGGAAGTGTGTTAAACGTACACATAAATGCACATTATCCATACATGAGCAGAAAGGCTCAAATGCATATACATTATGCATAAATGAAAGTGAAAAAATTCATGCATTCTCCTCCTCGTTCTCCCATTCGAGTCACACAATGAGCCATCAACCCGTTGACAGACACAGAGCTGCCACCTCCTCCTGTGTCTTCCTCCTCCTTCTCTCCACCCAAGGACATTTCCTTA